CCTTAACACTAATCATCTTCTAAGGCAGGCACAAGCTTCCTGAAGCATTTGGGTTCTGTGACAGCTGCATCCAAACACTGACTCAACCCAATCCTGCTTACATATAAAAGTTTCAGGGAGACTATGAACTGCAGTATGGCTTACCACATTTTATGCCTGCTTCAGCATTTAGATGCATTGGCAGAAAGCATCAGTATAGCAAAGTGGGAGTAACTGTGTCATCATCAGGCCCAAGAATTGACTCTGGGGGGGCAGGGGGGGCAAAATTAGCAGCAGTTGCACTGCTAGTGGTCCAGCTTCAGCCCTGCCCTACCTTTGGCTAATCTCAGAACCTGTCCTGCTCTAAATGTCTGTGGTCCCTGTCCTGGGTTCAGCTCTAAGCAATCATAGATTCCAGTTATTCCCTTCTTGCCCTCATTAGCATGGAGAAACCCACCATTAGCTTCTCCTGTGTGTGCCGATCTCTGGGATCCTAATCAGTTAAGTTAACTATCTTCCTTTCAAAGGGTCCCTTTGTATATGCTCATCCAACCCTCCGTACTCCTTCTGGAACCTCTAAATAGACCTGTTCCTAACGTTTCCCTTTAGAAGAGCCACAGGTGGCCCTTTCTAGCTTAGTCACATGCTCCTCTGTGTCATGTGGCACTTATGCTCATTCCTTTCTTCTGGGGGTGGGGAAGGTAAACCTGTCACAGGTGAGACTGAGCCTACAACTCTTCCAAGGGGCCAGCTTACCTCATTATAGGTTCCCACCACTACCAAAATATCTCTACTTTGACCAGTTAAAGCAGCAGCTGGCAACCTTTTAAGACTGAGGGCCGGACTGACTCAGTTTGGGTCAGAGGTGAGTAGGTGGATGCTAGTTTCCAGCTGCTGCTGCTCCTCTTCCCAGTGGTGGCACAGAGAGAGTACTCACAGCTGGTGTTTATCCTTTTGCAGCACAAGAAAGCAGTTGCTAGTGCTGCCACAGCTCCCCACTGCCAAATGCCTCTGAAGCCCCATGTCTAACAGGCCTAATCAAAACCTGTGTGGGCTAGATTGTGGATTTGGCGTGTGGCCCATAGGTTACTGGCCCCTGAGTTAAGATCACCTCTTGGTGTCAGAAGAGACTTCAGTCTTCATGGCTGCATGTCCACTGTGCTGAGGGTACGAATTGGTGGAGAACGTGCCAGTGGTTTTTATGACATAGATGCCTGTTCCTTTCATAATTACACTAAACTTCCATAACTCACTGTAGATAGCTGAACAAACCATCAGTTAATCCTAGGAAAGACTGGACTAATAAGCATTAGCCCCAGGATTTCACAGTGCTTTATACAAGTGTTAGCCTCAGACCTTTCCTCGTAACATGCATAAGGGGAGGCAGAGGATCATTTCACCCACCAATGTAAGGCAAACACTTCTAGGACGGGAATCAGCATCTGCCTTTTAAACATTATATAATAACGCGAAACAGCAAATTAAGATGGGAAGTGAATTGGCTCCAGGAATGTGCTACCAGAGCAGAGAATACCTTTTGGACTGATAGTGGTGACACAACATCACACAGTGCTATGCCTGCTGAATTGACCAGGCGGGGGGTTGATTCAGACAACTGTAGCATGATAAATTTGGATTGGTCTGTTTATTTGTCCAGATCTAGGCAGCTCTGTAGAACTGTTCTGATGAATCAGTTGGACACTGTTGATTTCCTGCCTCACACAACTCTTATTCAAGTAACATGTGGTCTTCCCCTCCCTTTTTCTTTAAGCTGGTTTCTGTTTGGAAGGCAAATACGCATAACACCTGAGATGACTTTTAGAACTTTTATTGCTTGTATAATGCTTCAGATTTCTAATGAACTACACAATACGTGACTTGAAGAACAAGCCCCTGCCCCAAAGAGCTACCCAGTATCCACACATGTAAGATCAAACGTGTTTCAAAATCGTGCAGTTGAGAACAAAGGAAGGACGGAGTGTTCACAACACTTGGTGTTTTCTGCAGGAGGAAAAGAAGGAAACTTGTTCAATATTAATGGGGAGTTTGTCCTGGGCATCCAGGGTGAGGTGAAAGAGAACAAGTCAAGAAATGAGGAAGAAGATAAATGAGTGGTGTAAATATTTGAGTGCACGAAGGCATAATGAACGATAGTCCAAGAAGTGATTTAAAGCAGAGTCATTGGCAGAAGTGGAATTACGCAGAGAAACTAGAACACTGACAACAGTGCGGACCTGGATTTTATTCACAGCTCTGCCACCGACCTGAAGTACTACTTTGAACAAACAACTTGATACTTCTCTCTGTGCCTCCGTTTCCCCTCCCAACCTTGTCTATTTAAAATGTAAACAATGTAAAGTCTTTGGAGAGGAATTTTTGTCTTTGTGTTACCTGCTTCTGTAGTACCCCACACAATGGGGCCCTGATTTTAGCGTGTCTCCCCCATGCTATTGTGACACTAATAGTGAATACTAATAGTAAAAAAATCAATGGAAAAGAGAAGCTATTGTACAAACTTGTGACTTAGGGAATACAAAACTGTGGATAGAGACAAAAAGTCAATTATGGCAGTTCCAGGTTGGATAATCCGGGGAAGAGTTTGCAGTGGCAGAAGCAATATTAGTCATTTCAGGACACTGGACTACTTTGGTAATAATGAAGTGACCAGCCTTCACAGGGAGCAAAACCTGTGACATAATTTCAGGTGCTCCAAACACTTCCAGAACCAGAAGCAGTCTATATCAGTTTGAGTTCTACTTAATGTAGTTGCCTTAATGCAGTGCTGTGTGCAGACTAATTAGCTCTGTTCTGAGACAAAGCTAAATTGCCTGGGCATAGCGCACTCTGAACATGGCTATTTTGCTCTCAGTGTGGGTTTATGGTCTTGTCTCCAGGCAGTGTCATGCTGCATTCTCTCAGAAGCACAGAAGGATGCTTTCTTGGCACCAATTTCTGACCAATTTTTCAAATTCAGGACAAATGTCCAAATTTCAGGTGCCTTGAGGGGACATCAGGACACAGCCTTAACATTTGGGTCTGTCCTGAAAAATTCAGGATGGTTAGTCACGTTAGATAATAGGACAGGAAGGAAAAGAATGCACACTGGAGAAACTGCAGAGAGGGAAACAGCAGCATAGAGCTGTTAGAGGGCCTGAATGCAAAAGAAGGAAAAAAAGAGGAAAGTAAAAGCTGACACAAAGATTAAAAACTTGGCTGATAAGCAGGAGGCTGATGTTGTTGCAAACAACAGAGAAAAAGGGAGAAGGGAGGGCTTGCTAGGAAAGGTAGGTGCTATTTTAGACAGATCGGGCTAATTTCAGCCCTGATGTAACTCCTTTTACGTCAATTTAAGTCAGTAGAGTTATTCAACGGATTAATTTAGGTCACTGAATTGAGGTGAAGGTGAGTCAGCTAGGAGGAGATTTTGGAGAGTAAAGTGATGTGGATTGGGCACGGAGTGAAAGGTGGAGGATGTGGAGGTAGATGTAAGGGTCATCAGCATTTAGAAACTACAAAAGCAGACACCATCACTCAGAAGAGATGGTAAGGAGAAAAGTGACAGGAGTGGAAGCAGCCTCAGCAGAAATCAGGAGGGGGAAGCCCAAAAAGAAATGCTAAAAGCAAAATAAAAAATTAGAAAGAGTATCTCTGTTAGCCTCATTCTAGTAAAGAAAAAACAGCTTCCATCTGGCAATGTTGCTAAAGGCTATGGAAAAGCAGCCATGAAGGACGAGGGGAGGAATGAATAATCAACAACAGTGTAAGAGACAGCAGCTATATCAGGGAGATCAGTGACAGTGCAGAGGCCCCTAGCCTGTACTGTCCAGGAAGAGATCGTAAGAGACTTCAGTGAGGGCACTCCGTGACGTGTGGAGAAGTCAGACTGTGTGGAGCTGAAGAAAACAGAAAGAAACAAATTCAAGATGAATAAATCTGGAGAACAAAGAGAGAGGGAAAATGTTAACAGAATGTTTTTAAGAACAGAGGATATAGGGCGTGCTTGAGTGTGGGAAGATGGCCTGTAAGAAGAGAGACTGAGGATGTGGGGAAGGGAATGAAAAAATAAAGAGGGAAGAGAAAGCAGGAGCTTTCAGGTGAAAGGCTGGGGAGACACAGGAGAAGCTTTAGAGATGAGATAAAGGACAAAACGGTATAGGGGACAAAGAAAAGGAGGAAGAAGGCAGAGGGGTGGGAATGCAGTGATGTTGCTGCCGGATGGTAGATACAAATATTCACTTGCCTGGAATGTGGCTATGCAAGCAGGGCCAGAACAACCCACAGACAGTTTGGGCCCAACACTGCAAGGTCAAATCATTATCCAGCACTTCACTCTTTCTGTGTAAACTCATCTAGGCTGCTCACACAGGCTTACCCATCCATAGACTATATTTATTAGGTGACTGTGAATCTAAGCCTTGATTTTTATTCTGCATATTTATTCATAACGTGTTCCAGGTCCAATCTGAAACAGCTTT